CTCCTGCGTTTAAGATGGAAATATTGTTAACAGTGTCGTACTCATCTGATGAAACGATGTATTTTAATCCGCTCAAAACCGAAACGTCGCGTACACTCCTGCGTTTAAGATGGAAATATTGTTAACAGTGTCGTACTCATCTGATGAAACGATGTATTTTAATCCGCTCAAAACCGAAACGTCGCGTACACTCCTGCGTTTAAGATGGAAATATTGTTAACAGTGTCGTACTCATCTGATGAAACGATGTTTTTAATCCGCTCAAAACCGAAACGTCGCGTACAATCCTGCGTTTAAGATGGAAATATTGTTAACAGTGTCGTACTCATCTGATGAAACGATGTATTTTAATTCGCTCAAAACCGAAACGTTACGTACACTCCTGCGTTTAAGATGGAAATTTTGTTAACAGTGTTCTACTCATCTGATGAAACGATGTATTTTAATCCGCTCAAAACCGAAACGTCGCATACACTCTTACCTTTAAGATGGAAATAGTGTTAACAGTGTCGTACTCATCTGATGAAACGATGTATTTTAATCCGCTCAAAACCGAAACGTCGCATACACTCTTACCTTTAAGATGGAAATATAAAACATAAAAACCAAATTGAACGTAATTTTACACTCCAATATCTGAGTTTCCCAGACAGTATCGTCTTAGAATAACTAAGATTTAAATTATTCTGATTCTACCACAAAAATCTCGACCAATTAATAATTTCGAGATACAGATTTGTTTATTTGTAATCGTTTGCATATTCTTATTTCATACATTAGCAATATTACATTATTCATCAACTTAAACAGTTCAAAATAAATGTTTTAACTTCGTGCACATTTAGATTTTGCTCGTTATCCAATTTTTATGAACATACATGAATAGTTTTTTGTATGAAACATGTATTTAATAAAGGTTCGTTGTGCGGAGGGTTAGGTGATGTTTCACAATAGTGTTCAGTACATGTATGATGTTTCACAATAGTGTTCAGTACACGTATGATGTTTCACAATAGTGTTCAGTACACGTATGATGTTTCACAATAGTGTTCAGTACACGTATGATGTTTCACAATAGTGTTCAGTACATGTATGATGTTTTACAATAGTGTTCAGTACACGTATGATGTTTCACAATAGTGTTCAGTACATGTATGATGTTTACAATAGTGTTCAGTACGTGTACATGCATGATGTTTTACAATAGTGTTCAGTACATGTATGATGTTTTACAATAGTGTTCAGTACGTGTACGGTGCTAAATAACAAACCTGGATACATGGATGATTCTTTAAAACAGTGTTCGGTACATGGGTGTTTACATGGAACTAGGTAAGCGTATAGTATTCTGTGGCTTACGAAAAAATCTACTTTTTAGTAGAAGAACAACACAGCTTATATGATTGTTTTCGAAGTCGAGGACTGGAATTGGGAAAAAATCAAATAAAAATTGCAATACAATCCCATCTAGTTGTTTAATCTTAACGCTAAATGTTTACAGGTAAACCTACTTTCATATCTATATCCCTGTATATAACTGAAGATAGCCGTGCCATTATCCTCTCGATGACCGTCAGCCAAAGCTTTAGTAAGTGCTCCTGCGTAAATCATGACGGCGTCGTACGCGAGGCTGGCATAGATAGGGATCTGCAAATAAGACGAGAAATAAATTGAAAATCTCGTGTTACTACATTGATACAATACGTATATCTTGCTCACTTGTTTGTCTATCTATCAGATTGTCTGTTAATCTAACTGTAAATTTATCTATAATAAATAATTCCTGAAAAAAAACTGTAAGAATTTTGTTCTCCCGTAATTGTAATG